CAGATGATGGGGCTTCAAGAGAGGACTACTGAACTAAATCAAGTTCCTTAGAGGAACTTCCACTTACCGGTTCAGTCTCCCTTGATGTAGGGTGTGTTGACAACGACTCTACGCCCGATTCTGGTTTCCCTGCAACCTATAACAATCTTGGACTTTATGGTCCGATTTTGGTAATGCAGGCAAACTCCTTTCTTAATCCTAGCCTTCCAATCATTTTCACTGATCCGGAGTTCCAACCAAGGTTTGATTGCAGCATCCTCCGACTTGGCTAGGATTTTTGCTCTCTTGAGGAGTGAAACAAAGTTCTTTCCTCAATTTCGATTTGGTGCCTTCACATTGGCAGATTTTCTAAAGATATTCAATTTATCTTCCATTATTAATCCCAGACTCTAGATTTTCTAAAGGTATTCAATTTTTCTTCTTCATTATTAATCCCGAACTCATGGGCAGAAGAGGAACAGGTTGTATCAGCGTCCTGTTATTGGTCGTCACCAAGAGTGGGGTCATCTGTATAGGCCTCCTCATTAACCTCCAACAGGTCATGCAAAGCAAAACAATTGCTGCCTCGAAACCGCCTGCCGCCTGAAGGTTTTTTGTTGCCCGTTGTGGAAACGAGGTCTTATGCCTCGAGGCTGGCTATGTCCTGCGTGAGAGGAAACCAGTCCGTATATCCAATGAGGTTTTTGCCTAGGCGATATATGTAGTTAGTGGGAAGTTGGGAACCATTTCTTTCACCACAAACAAGCATGACTGAGCTATCATCCCCAATCCAGGAGTAGCAAACATTTTGTTGAGATAGGATTGAAGGCTATACATTGAGCTCGACCATTTGTTGTGCTTGACTTGGTCAAGTTTGTTCCTTTTGCAACAACATGTGGGTCCTCATATTGCTTAATGAGGATCTTCTCGAGTGTGGCAATTGGCGTGGCTTTAAGCCACTGCGTCATATCCATCTTTGTATACCCAAATCGCATGACTTGGACTTCTACGAAGCCCCGTACAACAGGTTTGACGTTTGTCCCCATGATCAAGGACTGACTCAATAATTGAGTTCCCAACACCTCGAAGTAGGCTCTCATGGATTTGATCCAGGACTCCACGTCGTCCTTGCCGTCGTACTTGGACGGTATCTGCACCGCCTTCCTGTCCACATAGGGACCACTGTAGCTGGGAGCAAAAATTGTTGTGTCTGGACTCGAGGTTGTAGCAGTTGTAGAACTGTTTGCATTGTCAGTTGTTGCAGCAACAACGAAGTTTGCACCTACTGCAGGTCCCGATTGAACCACACTCGGAGAAGAAGAAGAAGAGACATGGAGAGGGGCAAGGATAAATTGGTTGGCATCATTAGAGGCAGCAGGTACAGGAAGAGAATTAGGAACCTGGGTCTGATGCAGATTTGCCATCTATTGCATCTGATCACAATGCTCCTTTGCCATATCCGCGATTTGTGTCTACAATTTACTCACTTGGTCAACGGTTTGGACACCTGCCTGGGAAGTTCATTGTGCATGTGACAATCTATGAGAGCACGCACATATGTAACCAGATCTTTCTTGACCTCAGTGCCAGGCAGGGAGGGGACTATTTTCAAAACAGCCTCATGGTCTGCAATAGTGGTTTTCCATTTTTTCTCCGTTGCCTTCTCTTCTCTCGCCAGCGCCTTGTCATAGAGGACTTGGAACAACGGTTTGTCCTCTTCGTTGGATGCCCTCTAAGGCCACAAAGGCCTTTACCGCTGCCATGTTAGAACTATCTGGGTTCTTAGCAGGCATGACGAAAAAGAACTCAGCAAGTCCCTCAAGATGAGTGCTCTCCCTCTCCCTTCGCTCTCTCTCCTTTTTTTGTCCACGAGTCTCCACGGGCATCGAAATATAAACTCAAAAAAAGAAACAGACTGAAAAGCACAAAGAAAGAGAAGGTAGAACTCCTAGCCGGAGCAACAATTCATTTGGACTAGAGAGCAACCAACAAAATAATAATAATAATAATAATAATAATTGAGATGAGAGTTCTGATCCAGCGTCTCAGCCTGGTCAGACCGAGTACGAGATCCCCTCGAGCCCAATCCGATCAGTTCTGTGAACATGCAGCAAATTCAGACATCGAGTAACGACATGCAACAATGAAGAATTGAGTGGTGTATAAGGAGCGAGCCAAGCCACGAACCGTGCGGTAGAGTCTGCCAAACATCTCAACAGAGATCCCCTCGACAACGACTGCTCTAACCAAAAGAATAAAACTCTGAATCCCAGACAGAAAGAGAATGAACCGACAACAACAGATTTGGGCCTAAGGGGCCCTTCTTGCTTGGGCCCAGCCCCACTGGGTACCTAAGGGTCCCACGTAGGTCATGACGGATTCCCAACCAAGAGGAGTCCCGCATGGACCTACTTTTTGCCTCTACTGTGCTGAAAAACGAATTCCAACTTCAGAGAGAACCTATTAACTACAACCATTCAGAGATAAAAAGACAAAGCATTGTCGAAAGATATGGATCTCAAAGCAAGATACTTCATCTCTCCATCCGTTAGGTGAAAAAGCAGTTTGCATATTGATGCACACAATCAAGACCATAGAGGAGTAGGAAAATAAACCTAGAATTACCCCAACAAGACAGTCAATACCATGCACACATTCATGGGCATCCCGTAGCTGCACGACACTTACCTGAGTGGCCTAAGCTTTGAGATGAAGTATAACTCACCCCCTCTCATATGGTGCTCATGACCTCTTTAACGCTACACCTACACTAGTGTCCTATCTGCTAGGAGGGTCGGACTCCAACACTAAAGTACAAACGCCAGATTCCCCGCCGTTGTTGAAGATCAAAATGGCAACTTGTAGTCCATTGATGCAGAATGGCTACTTCCCTCGAGCTCGCCTACTTGAGGGAAGCCCTTAAGTCACCAAGTGTCTCCCTTAGGTCAGATTCCAGGTGTGAGTGCCTCTCACTGTCACCTCTTCCAATTGTCGCACGAGGTCTTCTTGAAGTGTCTCACCACCCTAAACTTACTCTCAAGCAACCTCGTGGGTCAAATGCCGACCCTGCACGACCCTGCTAGGTGGGGGCAGCTTCCTTTCCCCACACTGCCCCACTTCCCTCAACTTTCCAGCCCTAACCCTGAGGGGTAACCCTCCCACTTAGGTTAGGGTTGGAGCGCCAAAGTCAACTCTCGCCAGCAAGTAGAATCCGCTCTGATACCAATGTTACGATCCTAACCCATTTCAAAGTGCAAAATGACAACAAAGTACAATGTCGTCCAATTGCAAAAAGAAGTGGATGAACTTGAGAGGGAAAGAAGAAGAAGATGTACACCAACAAAAACCAATGATTATCCCCCTTCTTCTCGCCAACCAGATTCTCCTCCTTTTCTCCTCCTCTCTTATTCAAACAATAAATAATAATAGTAATGATGAATGGCAGAACCAGAATCAATGTCTGAATCCCTCTTCTACTGCCAGCACAACTTGAGGTCCACCTGAGCCATCGTCCTTCTCCTTCCTTTTCACTTAGGTCGAGGCTATGGCAGACTACTAAGGGCCTTGCCTTAGCGTGCAAAAGACAACGCAAACTTCGCGAAGCATCTATGACCACTTCCACTCAGGTTGCCATGCACGACTCTGCCTCAAAGCTTCTTGATGCAGCTCTACCCCAACGGGGGCCTTCCAGATGCAGCGCCCTTCAAGGTGACGAAGATGGCATCCACCATAGCCAGGTAAGTACCCCTGGCGCTCCCCTCTCCTAGTCCCTTCTTCTTCCTCCTCTTGCCTTAGCTCCTCCACCATAGCCAAGGTGCAGAGCTGGGCACTCCTCTTTCTCCCATCGCTGGACTCAGCAGCACTCCAACCAGCGCTCCAGCAGCATGACGTCCAAACTTCCACACAGCAAATGAGTAAGAGCTCCTATGCAAGGAACATGAATATGGACGAAGCACAGAAATCCAGAATGCAAAATCACACAGAAGTCCAAGTAGTCAAAGCCAAAGCAGATAGCACATGGAACCGAGTAACCATCCAATTGAGAATGATACAGAAGAATCGTGAGTCAATGCCCATGCCCAACAGGGCAACACCAACAGCATAACCCAAATGTAGCTCTCTCTTGTGAATGGCGCCAGGCACCCTATCTACTCTACAGCCTATCCGACAAACTACAACAATGAAAAGCAACCAGACAACTTGACTACCAGCGAGTGATGATGTCAACACCAATGCCGACCTCCACCTCCTCCAGGTACGTGTCCTCTTCCCCACACTCTCCCTTGTTACCCACACAGCGCCCTTCACCTCCGAAGTACCACCTTCGCCCTCACCTCCCCTGCACCCTCATGCGGCCCGACCATGGCCGCCAGTGCCCTGCATGCAGGCAGCGCCCTACCGCCTAGCGCTGGCCTGCTTCCTCTTAGCGCAGCGCTGCTCTGCATAGCGCAGCACACTTGCATTTGTGCAGTGTGCCCGCATATGCCAGCATTGGCCAAGATCCCTGTTGCCTCGCCTTGCTTGCCTATATGCCAGTGCAACATGTGAGCGGCCTCCCTTCAGCCTGTGACCGGGGCCCAGAGGCTGAAGCCAACCCGATACAGTTGGGCCCCGGGGCAATGCAGTTGCGCCTCCTTAATCAAGGCCTGCGGCCAGATTCAGACAGTGGGCCGATTTCCCTTTGGCATTTTCGGCCTCTCTACCCAGCGTGCATTGTCGGCCTCACGTTCAAGTGCCCAGGGCCTAACTAACTCAGAGGCCCTGGGCATTTCAGCATTTGCTGAAATCCGAGACTCGATGCACTCCAACCAACTGGCGTGCTGCAACTGTATAGACCCCACTTCGTGAAATGTTGGCATAGAGGGCTCTTGTTGATTTGCTGGCCCGCCTTCACTTAGGGCGGGCACTAGGCTTGCTGGGGCCTTAGCCCAGAACATGTACATCATGGCAAGGCCCCTACTTGAGGGCTCAATCCTCACATTCCATCCCCCTTAGCTTCGAAAGTCCGCTGAGATGCTTACTTCGCAGGTGCCTTCCCTTTTAGCTTCTGTTCATAATCTGCTACCACCTGAGGAGCTGTTTCCATCAGTTCCTCCCGGGTAAACCACCGATCTTCTTTAGGATCCGTATGATGCCTGAATCTGATCCGGTACTCCCTCTTGGGTTTAGGAGGTCTTCCTCGACCCAGCGGCTTCGGAACAGGCATATCCCTGTGATCCACAATATGATCGATGTCGACTTGTCCATCCATGGCAGGGGGCAACATCGATCTCCTGGAAGGGAATTGATCAGTCTCAGCGAAAGGTGCAAGCTTTGAGGCATGAAAGACTGGGTGAGTGCGTAGATGACCAGGGACACGAATGACGTACGTAGGACCATCCATTTCATCTCCCACTACATCAAAGACTTCCCAGGGACCAAAGTACTGAGGCATTAGTTTGTGAGATATTCCGAATTCCTGTCCTGACTCACTAGCCTTGACCCAGACACGTTCCCCTACCTGAAATGTGGACTGCCTGCGATGTTGATTTTCAGAAGCAATCATGGCTTGTTGAGCCTTCTTCATATGTTCAACAGCCTCTTGCAGCAACTTCTCATATTGCACACCGTATTCAAGTGTGCCTGGAGTTGCAGCGGGTCGGTTTTCTTTCTGGAGGAAGTCTAATGCTGATCTAGGCTTCCATCCTAAGTGCAGTTGGTTAGGACTAACGCCGGTACTGCTATGTATAGCATTGTTGTACAGGCTGGCGATGAGAGGTAACTGCTCATCCCAGTCATTCTGGCTGGGCTTGATGTAATGCCTCAGCAAGTGCTGTACAACTCTATTCATTTGTTCGGCCTGTCCGTTGGCTTCGGGATGATTCCCTGAAGTCATTTGAAGTTGACTGCCCATCTGTTCCGCAGTCTTCTTCCACAACTCACTTGTGAATCGGATTTCTCGGTCACTAATGATGGTCTTTGGTAAACCAAAGTCCCTTACCCAGTTGTCCTTGAACAACTTGATGACGTATTCTGTCCTGGCTGTCTTTGGCATTGGTATTAGTCTAGCGTACTTGGGGAATCGGTCAATGATGACGAAAATGTGCCTCTTACCACTCTTGCTGGTCACAAGAGTGTTCATGAAATTCATGGAAACACTCAATCGTGGACCATCAGGAATAGGTAAAGGCTTCAATAACCCAAGCGATGCTTGAGTTCGCGGCTTGTCCCACTGACAGACATGAAAAGGTCTCAACATACTTCTTTGCGTCATCTAACATTCTGGACCACCAAAATCGTTGTACTAAGTTAGCACTCGTCTTGTTGTAGCCAAAGTGCCCAGTTGCGTCATGACATTCGCCTAAAAATAAACTACGCAACTGTTCACTAGATGGAACTACCAATCTCTTTACTCCGGCCTTATCAAGATAGATTAG